AAATACCGGGTGTTCCATAAGAAAAAATATAACTTTGATATGGATCTTAGTTCTGACACAACCTGTACATTTCAAAATAATTATTTTGATATGTACAGGTTGAGACAGGTTGAGTAATATTATACACATTGCCTTTCCACATACCTATAAAATATTTTGTTTCTACATCTTTCCGTTTTCGTATAATCAACCGGGGCGAATGAGGTGCGCCACCCTGTATATTTTAGCTATCACTGGAGAGAGCGAGGTACCCATCGGAACCCACAAGCTCTGTGTCTCATTTGATTCATGCCATATAATACGGAGTCATTTAACATGTGCTGCTCTGTTCAAGGTATCTCCAGCATCCGACGAAGTAACGACATTTCAAACGCTTCGATCTTCCTCATTTTGTCACTTCCAGGGTCCATACTATATAAGAGCAAAAATGCTTTTGACTAAAACCGTTTTGCTCTTTCTCTGTACAACATGACTCCTTTCTATGTTCTTAATTTTTAGGGCCAGGTACTCACTAGTTATCATTCCAGTTAACTATCAACTACTAAGTGTAAATTTGTTCATGAGTATCACAAAGTTCCACCATGTCATTCGATGTGTTTGTTTCAACTTTTTTTTAACGCCAGAGGAACAAGTAAACTATATTACGGAATATAAAAAACGTAAACAAGTTAAGGAATGAAGTTTTATAAAGCCATCCCTCATCAACATGTAAATATTTTATTGTGTTCTGATTTAATAAATTTCGTTTTATTCGTTATTTACTTCTGGCGTTTTTATTATACCGTGCTGGCAACTGTTACTCTTGGGTCGGTATTTACATGTGTGGAAGTAAATCGCATAGGGATCTTATTAAGTCGGAGCGAGAGAAATGCGACGGAGTGCTGTTGCGGCGTTGCCGGTACGCCTTTCCCTATCAAGTAAAGTAAAATCACTATCGCAAACCGCTTATTTTAATAGATTTTTTTTTTCGAAAAGATAACTAGATAAAATCATTAGAAATGTTTCTGAGCATCTGAAATGGAATTATAAGGATATCTTATAGGTGTCATTTATGTATCTAGGGTGTAATTTTTTTTATAACGAGAAAACGTCAGTAATCGCGATAATTTAAAAACTCAACTTTTTAACACATAATACGCCATAACTCAAGAAAAACTTTAGATATTGAAACTTTTTTTTATTTTGGAGATAGGATCTTTTGCAATATGTTTACATAAGAAAAATTCGATAAGGTTGATTTTTCCATTCAAAAATTGTAAACAACCATCTATTTACTTTTAGAGCATAGCAATTTTCAGCAGTCGTGTAATTTTTTAATTGATAAAGATTTTCACTTACTGCCTACGAAGAAAATACAGCAGAAATATTAAGAATGTTTTTGAAAAAACTACAATCAATTATTTCTAAAGATGCCATTACACGGAGTGTGGAGCGCCGATCCACGCTCCAAGCACGTGGAGCGCCGCGCCTCACAGTACGGCGGATGGTAATTCTAGCGGGACAAAACCTCAGGAGCGATGTTTGGGACTTAAAATCTAACGTAGCAAATTGTTTAATATATGTATAGCACCCATATGAGTAAAATTTATTTATTTATTAACAACTTAATTTATTAATAAATAAATAAATACAAGATAATAAAACTATTATATTATTCGCACGTGACAC